ATAATATTGGATGGATAACTATTTATTTTTATCCATTTTACCAGGAGTTCTATTCTGTTTCAGGATACATATAATCTCTAGATTCCAGGTGATTATTGCATAAAGCACATATTGGATCTACATTTATTTCCCAGTTGGCCAGTCTGTCTGTCGTAAGTAGCTTTCCATGGAGTTGTAACTAGGGGTGTTCGTCGGTCGGTACGGTACGGTACGGTATTTAGAATATTTCGTTTCGGTATTTTCGGTATTTGGTTTCTTAAAATGCAATACCAATATCGTACCTAATTAAATTTGGTATGGTTCGGTTTTTCTCCTTTGGGTTTCGGTTTATTCGGTTTGGTAACTTCGATTTATTCGGTTTGAATACTAACTAGTGCATATAACCATAGACTTTAATATTCTAAATTAAAGTACTCAAAAGCACAAAACTAAACATTTCTTGATAAAAAATTTGTTCAAAACTATCAAATATCAACTTAGAGAGAGAAAACTGTACATAAAAGAATAAATTTGATCATTAGAAATGTTGTTACTTGCTTAGAGTTAATTGATGAACTTAGAGAATAAAGGGAAGCAAAATTTTAGATTTTTATATTTATGTTATAATTAATAATATGTGTATTGTGTAATATATTATATATTTCGGTACGGTATCGGTATTTCGGTATTTCATTTTAAAATACAGAATACCATACCTAATACCAATATTTTTTAAAACTTAAATCAAATACCATACCGAATACCAAAATATCGAATACCAAATACCAAAATTTTCGATTTCGGTACGGTAATTCGAATTTACCAAATTATGCACAGCCCTAATTATAACCATACTATAAATCTTGCGCTAGGCCTAGCTTTATTAAATTATTTCTAAATAAAAAATATAACCTATTTTTAGAATAAACAAAAGAAAAAATGACTAACAAATTAGGACAGAGAAAACAATTTTTAAATAAGGGTAGCCCGGGCCCAGGAGCAGCTCTGTCTGAATATTTTACGTATCGTGAACGACACACTTTACTGAAGCAATTGTAGCAGCTCCTGCGCCGATTAATTTTGAACCTTATAATCTTACATAATAATAAGACCAAGGCGAGGGGTCATCTTCGGCAACCAACCGGTGGAGCCGGCCTCCCCGTTCGGCCATCAAGCTACTTTGTGGGGTAGGGGACCAGACTGGTGACTGAGCCCTTCCGAATGACCTAGAATATAGTCTACTAGACTAGCCAAGAAATAGTCTAGTAGACTATATTCGCCCGTGGAGGTGAGTGGAGGAAGCTGTGAAGCTTCTAACTCTAATTACCAACTCGGGACTATATTAGTAAAAAGCGTACAAATCATCTCGCATTCATATAGGATTCGGAGAAGTGTTATCTATAAGGCCTTTAGCGAAATATCGTTCGTCTTTTTTACCCCTTTAAAATAGAGTTCACATTGGACAAAATAGTCATTTGATTATTTTTCTATATTTAGGAATAGTCATTCAATTAATTTCCTACTATTTAGGAACAATCATTTAATTATTAATCTAATACTTAAAACTTTTATTTTTCAGTTTCTTTTAGATCAAATTTCAAACACTTTCAACTAAAACTTGAAAAGTTTTTATTATTCAACTCAAACTAAAAGTTTCGTCTTTCTACTAACTTAGGAAAATATTATTCACTTTCAAAGGAAAATATCATAGGAAATCTTTTAGTTATAAATTTTTTGACAGATTAATTCTACAAACAATGTTAGGTAAAGACGTGCAATTTGATTTTCTTTTTGGTTTAGGAGTCTTTATTTTCTAATAAATCATTAAATTATCCATAATTTTATGTTGTATAAATCCTTTCATGTTTCAAATTATGAACCAAAAATTTCTTTAAAAGAGCTACAATTCTACGTTTTCATCATGAAAACTTTGCCTTGTTCGAGCAGCAACTATAAATTAAGAACTTTCAGGTTCTTCTTTGAGCAATTTTTTTTATAGTAGTTGAATTTTACATTCACGCGTTTATATTAGTAGTTAAATTTTGCATTCACATATTTATATTAATAATTAAATTTTGCATTCACGTATTCAACAAGTACATTTTTATTTTGGTATTCTTAATTGTGAACCTTGAATGAACATGAGCTTGTTTGGCCAAAATCTCAATTTGTTTTAGTTGTTTTATAATTTTTAGAATAACTCTTATGTATTAAAGAAATAGAATAATTCACATTTTGCTTGCGAGAAAGAAAAAAAGATCTTTTGTTAGTTAGATGATCCTTTGTATGTTTTCTAGAATGAACTTAAGAATATATATTTCTCAAAAGATTTCAAAAAAAAAAAAACTCCAAAATCTTCGAGAGTTTATGTGCTCTTGATGAAAATAAAAAGAAATACGACAACTTGTGAAATTAAAGTAATGAATAAATCTTAAGTTAAAAATATTGACTAAGATGATTGAGGACTTCTATTATCACCGTTTCTTCATTTATTGAGTTGCTAAATATAATCAATAATTATCATTTTCAGTAACTCACACTTTTTTCTTAAACTTATTTTGTAACTCAAACGTAATTAGTTAACATAGTATTTATGTGATTTTAAAAATATATACTTATTGAGACGGGATACACGCGCAACGCGCGTATCGTATAACTAGTATATATATAAGAGTGTGATGTATACAACCTACCATAATGAACTTTATTGTTATTATAAATAGTTAATGTTTTAAAGTAAATAAAAATATGTAAAAAATATGATAAAAACAACATATTTTCTGTCTCTAAATAACCATCTCCGCATTACTCGAAGTTATCACCATTTCATTTAGCACATGTGACATGTGGCTAACAGCTCAAATAGTAGATATGGCCAACACGAAGAGGTCCAAGGGAATATACACAATGTGTCGTTTTCAAAAGTTGTTAGAGATACCAAATCATTTTCTAAGTTTAGAAATTTTTATTTTAAAATATATTCTTAGTAGCTGTCTCGTGTTTGCGAAAATAAGAAAAATAGTGTATTTTGTTATGTCTGTCTTGGGGATTGTCATCATTGATACAAGGAAAGTGTTTTGCTGCTTTGAATTGTTAAACAAATACGTGTGTCAAACCTCCAATAACACCCTTGTTTGTTTCGATATTTTTTGACTGCTATATTAAAGTATTGTTATACAGAATATACATTGTAACATAACATGAAAAATTGGTCCCGAAAAAACTTGATCATTATAGCAAAATGTCGTTAGAAAGGACGACTGTTATAGAGAAGTTTGACTATATATGCAAATTCTCTATAATAGTCTCATTTGTTTCGACATTTTTTGGTTGCTACATTAAGTGCTATTATATGGAATATATATCGTAACATAACATGAAAAATTGGTCCCAAAAAAACCTGACCGTTATGGCGAAATATTGTTGTAGAGGACGACTGTTATAAAGAAATTTAACTGTATATGCAAATCATGCCTTCTTTCTGCTCAACAATTAATATAGGCCTTTTTTTTTTGTATAATTTGGAGCTAATAAAAATGGATATACTAATTATGTATACAGTTCTATTAAGGGTTTATGTTCTATGCACTGACATGTAAATAATATTTACACAATCGATAATTAATAATTATAACTAACTTTCTTGCTAAGTAGTAATTAACAATCTAATAAAAATAATTAAAACAGCCTGCTATCACATAATATTAAAATTCACTATAGTGCAAAGTGCAGGCCACCGTTTGTATTGAAGGTGAAGAACAGATCAACCACTCTGTTGAAACAATGGAAGAGGAAGTCATGACTTCCCAAAGCCAATTTTGACCAAGGGGAAAAGTGATGAAAACGTAGCGGCAGAGCTACGAAAAGAAGAAAATATTGGACCAAACTAAAAATAGAAAATTTAAATAACCTTACCAATTCTAGAAACAATATTCCCTCAATTCCAAAATTTGTCATATTTAGAAATAATTCAATTTTGAAATTCTTCTTTATCATTAATGAAATGAGTCACAGCCACACAAATACACCTAACGCTTGTTTTAGGCCATTAAAACAATATCTTATCTTTCTTAAATTCTGTGCATAGTCAAACAGTGAAACGTAAATTAAGATGGAAGAAGTAACTATTTTATCTCATTTTCAAGAGTTAGACGAAATAATTTTTGATTTCTTAATTTAGGACATATTTCTGCACCTAAGGATGTTGCCTAGTAATCATGAGTGGATTGAGAATCATGAGGTATTATGTTCAAATTTCAACAGAGGCAAAATTGTTATGCGATTTTTTTTTTTCATCTGTCCAATTCTCGGAGGACATAATTACATGATACTTATACTAGTGGGAAGGTAATAGACTTCCCACAAAAATTGGACCGCACACCACAATTATAAAAAAAAATAAAAAAAATTAGGACATATTTCTTTAACAGAAAGTGAGAATTTGTACAATTTTTAATATTGTTGTATATTTTAAATTGTCTTTTAACAACCTTATATTCATTTTAACCTTAATTTTTAGTTATCCAATATTAATCAAACTAATATTGGTGGTTGGGTGGGGGGGGGGGTTTGGGAGTAGAATATGATCTTGAGGTATCCAGTTAAAGGTTATTTTATAAATTTAGGTAATTAGTCTTATATTTTTTAATTTTTGAGGACATGCATATCCTGAAATTACGAATTTTAATTCAAAATCTTATGACAAAATAAGTATTGGCTAATATATAAATAATCGGCCTAAGAATGGTTGTTTGTATAATACCTCGGGCTTAGGAAGGGTTGGTCAACTGTACATAATAAATATAAAACGTGTTTGGTGAGATGTGAATTTTGTCTATCTGTTTGTAAGTTTCATTAGAAATAGAACAGAAGCTGCTAGGAAGGAAGATCTATTTTTAGGTTTTCCGTCAACACAAAACCATAGTCTAGTGGGAAAATAATTCACTATCAAACTCCTTCTATATACCCCTCCCCCCCCCCCCACCCCAACACCTAACAACCATAGCCTGAATTCTTACATAGCAATCAAGAAAGAGAAAGAAAGCAAATCTTGACAGAAGAAGAAGAAGAAATCAAGAAATTAATCATGTGTTGTTGTGGAGATGATTGTCAATGTCGTCCTTTAGGTTTTCTATTGGGTCTTCCTTTTGCCTTTGTTGCCCTTCTCCTCTCCATCGTTGGTGTTGTCATCTGGATTGTTGGGTATGTTCAATTTCTCTCCTCTTTCCATCTTTTTTTTTTCCATTGATTAGTGAAAAATTTAATTAGATTTTGTTCGTCGAAAAATTATATTATGTAAATAGAGATAAAAATAAACTATTTGTGTATATGAATTGATGGGTGCCTTGGAGTGTTTTCGTGTAACTTATAGATTATGATTTCCAACCGTGGAAACAGTCACTAATACTTGTATTAGGGTAGACTGTGTGCGGCCTTCTCCGAATTCAGCGTAAATACGAAATGCTTTTTGCACCGGACTTCTCTTCTGATAATGTATATGAATTGTTGAATTTTCATGACATAAAAGGAACTTCTAGTGCAACAACAAAGTTCATTCAAGAATTACTTTAAACTTACAAATATAAATTCTAAGTGTGATATTCTTGCAATTTGTTTTTTTTGGAAATTCTATGTTAATTTTTTTTTGGCTCTACCACTAACCAGAGGTGTTTAATATAGTGATTAGTGAACTAATACAAGATTAACTATTTATAACTTATTTTTTATAGAATTCTTCTTGATTTGGATATAAATAAACCAATATTTCTGTATTAATTATTCTTTTTTTTTTTTTTTTTTTTTTTTTTTTTTTGCAGAATCATATTGAGTTGCATATGTCCATGCTGTATTTGCGTAACAGTATTGGTAGAGTTGGCTTTGGGATTAATCAAAGCACCCTTTTCGGTTATGAAGTGGTTTACTGAGCAAATTCCTTGTTAGAATACACCTTGTATAAATTCATCTCCCTAATTTCTAGTAATTCTTTTATGTAAATTTATTTCTGTGGTGAGAGAATAAATTAGATTTATTTTATCTTGTTAAATTTGTCTCCTTTGCCTACAAAAACTATTCCTGAAATTAATTGGTATTTTGTTTTCCATATTCGGTAGAATAGTTGAGCGCTTGGTTCTTCTTTATTAATATGAGCAATTCAATGCTCTGCTGTTATTGAAGAAATTTTTTTATTTAACATTTGCTGTCAACATTGAATGCTGGCATATCTGTTTGGTTTGGTTTAACAAGTCAAAGACTGTTGTCCGATATTGATAAGGCTCTTCTTCTTCTTTTTTTTTTTCCTTTTTTTTTTAACGCTATCCCAACTCCTACTAATTTTTGTTTTTTAATTTTTCTTTCCTGATTATATGGGTGCGGGGTGGGGGCGGGGGGGTGTGGGGCGAAGAAGGGAAGGAAATCGAATCGGAACCGGCAAAGTGAATGTTGAACTTGACTACTAAATGGGGCATTTGCATATATAGCCATTTTTGGGACCATCATTACACAAAATTTTGCAAAGTATATCTGCTCGGATATGAAGTAGTTCAATCTCTTCAATGCAATTTCAGAAATCAAATCTGAAAATCTCCTGTCTTTCAACTGGAACTTCAAAAATTCAAATCTTAAGTAGTTCAAGTTCTTCAAAGCAACTTCAGATTTCGAATATGAAGTTTCTCTATAACCTTCAGAAATTCGAATCTTAAATAGTCCAGTTTTTCAATACAACTCCAAATACAAGCTCTTCTAAGTTCTATTTTTCAAGTGCAACTTCAGAAATTCGAATCTTAAGTAGTTCAATTTTTCAGGACAACTTCAGATTCATAATCTGAAATCTTAGTTCAGTTTTCCAATACAACTTCAAATTCAACATCTAAAGTTCTGAAACATAAACTTGCTCTTCAAATTTCAACAATCCAACACACGATTCAATATCTAATTCTACTCCAAATAAGCTCAAATTTAAAACACAACTTTCAAATATCATAAAGAATAAATCCCAATCATCAAATTGATAAAACAACAACGAATTTAACAAACTCATTTTGCAACTATGAAAAAGAAGAATCCCCAAACACAACAAGAAGAAAGCAGCAGTGAAAAAGAAGAGAAAAATGTGTATTGAAGTTACTAAAAAATTGCATATCAATTAACCAATTTTTAAAAAAGTAGGTGCAGATTCAACAGTGGCGCAAAACTGCGCGCCACATGAAAAATTTATATATGGACAAACAGGTTAATAGCATGTGTTTGCCAAGTTGAAAAAATCAGCTTATTTTGAAAAGTGCTTTTCGAAAAAGTACTTGTAACGATCCGACCGGTTGTTTTGAGCAATTGTACTTCGCCCGCCAGTTCTCGGGCTAGGCTAGCCCTGTATGATGTATTATGACTTATGTAAATCGTTGGTTTTGGTTTTCATGATAATCGGAATAGATTTGGAAGAACAATTCTCAGTTGAAGCTTAAATTTGAAAGGTTTGACCAAGTTTTGACTTTTTAGTATATGATCTCGGATTTGGATTTTTTATGATTTGGTTAGCTCCGTTAGGTGAATTGGGACTTAGGAGCGTGATTGGAATGTAATTTGGAGGTCCGTGGTAGATTCAGGCTTGAATTGGCGAAATTGAAACTTAGCGTTTTCCGGTTGGTAGTGGAAATTTTGATATCGGGGTCGGAATGGAATTTCGAAAGTTGCAGTAGGTCCGTTGTGTCATTTCTGATGTGTGTGCAAAATTTCAGGTCATTCGGACGAGATTTGTTAGACTTTTTGATCAAAAGCGGAATTCGGAAGTTTTTGGAAACCTTAGGCTTGAATGCGTGGTTAATTTGACGTTTTGATGTTGTTTTAGGTGTCTCGAAGATTGGTATAAGATTGGAAGGTAGTATATGACTTGCTCGTGCTTCTGGTTGAGGTCCCGGGGGCCTCGGGGTGATTTCGGATGGTTGACGGGAGGTTTTGAGTTGGAATATGCAGCTGAAGTGCTAAGTTCCTGTCATAACCGCACCTGCGGCTTGGGGACCGCAGGTGCGGGTCCGCAGGTCCGTGGGTTTCGACCGCAGAAGCGGTTTAGCTGGGGGCGGAACATATAAATTATGGGCTTCGCGATTTTCAGCCTTTCTTCACCATTTTTAAATCGATTTTAGAGCTTTTTGGGAGATTTTAAAGAGGGAATTCAAGGGAACTTCGTTGAGGTAAGATTTTTGAACATAATACTCGTTTCTATAGTGTTATTTCACGGATTACGCTTGTAATTTATGGAAATTAGTGGTTGAACTTGAAGAAAACTAGGGCTTGTAATTGGAGACCTAATATTTGGAATTTGAGGGGTCATTTGTGGTTGGATTTTGGTAAATTTGATATGCATGAACTTGTGGGAGGATAATGATTCCATTGATGTTAATTTTGTCAGATTTCGAGACGTGGGCCCGGGGGCCGGGTTTGGCCAATTTCGGGATTTTTGGTATAAATTGGATATTTTCGAGTGGGCTTTGTTCCCTCCTTAGCATATTTTGATGGTATAAATCTATTTTTGGATAGATTTGGAGCATTTGGAGGGCGATTCAAGAGGCAAGGCATCGTGGGCTAGAGTTTGGACCGGTTAGAGGTAAGTAATGATTGTAAATGTTGTCCTGAGGATATGAAACCCCAGATTTCACATCGTTTCACTACTTTGAGGTGACGCACATGCTAGATGACGAGCGTGGGGTTGTGCACCGTTGGGGATTGTGACTTGGTCCGTCCCGTACGACTATTAAGTCACGTATTTAATTGAAAACTATTTGATAGTATCGTGTTTATGGAAAGTATTACTATGTTTTGGGCGGAATGCCATATTTGGGCCTCGTGCCAAATGATTGGACCCTTAGGGGCTTTTTGCTACTATTTCTCACTGTTTTGATTTTGATAATTGTACTCAGTCATTTTGTGTTTTACTGATTTCATAACTAAGCCTTATTTACTCAGTTTTAATTTTCAAATGATATTTTGGGCTGAACGCCCCGTTTTACTGTTAGCCCGAGTGGCTTGAGAGGTTTCTGGCTGAGAGAGGCCGAGGCCTGGTTGTGAGGATTATATATATATATATATATATATATATATATATATATATATATATATATATATATATATGGATCGGGCTGCATGCCGCAGCGATATAGCGCTTGGGCTGAAGGAGCCCCTCCGGAGTCTGCACACCCCCAGTGAGCGCAGTCACATATATGGATCGGGTTNTTGAGCGTCTCCAGCAGGGTTCTATGACTGTCACTCAGTACGAGACCAGATTCATTGACTTGGCCCGTCATGCTCTTCTTATACTTCCCACTGAGAGAGAGAGAGAGAGAGAGAGAGTGAGGAGGTTCATTGAGGGACTCGTTCAGCCTATTCGATTGCAGATGGCTAAGGAGACGGGGAGCGAGATTTCTTTTTCTGTTACTCCCTGCACCTTGTGTGCAGATCCAGATATTTCTGAGCTCGGTGGCAGGTTCATCGGAGTTAGCAAGGTAGCTGCCTGACGTTCGCAGCCCTGTCTCTCTCCTTCCTATTCTAGTACTTTATATTTCAGACTTGTTTGTGTATTGAGCAGACAGTGTTGAGAGTACTTAGTGGCTCATGACTAGTGACACCAAATTCGGGCTGGGTTGATGTATTTACATATTTGATTCCGCGTATTTCTGTTGATATGTTAAAAATGAAAGATTTGAGACTCAATCCGCTTTAGAAAATACAAATTTTACAAAAGATCTTCTGTATTGTTTCGTGTGGTTTCGGCTGGCCTAGTTCTGTGATAGGCGCCATCACGACCGGGGTATTTGGGGTCGTGACAAGATGGTATCAGAGCCTAGGTTACATAGGTCTTACGAGTCATGAGCAGGTTTAGTAGAGTCTCGCGGATCGGTCCGGAGACGTCTGTATTTATCCTCGGGAGGTTGCAGAACCTTTAGGAAATCCCACATTCTTGAATTCTTATCGTGCGACATTGAATCAGTTTGAAATGCAACTCTTTGAACCCCTTCCATGCGTTCGTATGCGCACATGAGAGCTCCATATTAGTTGTGTAACGACGGCTTGTGATTCCCCGTATCGAGGGGCAAGATGCGATCTCTGTGTGTTGATGTTTGGCCAGTCTGGAGGACTTGAGGCCAGGCTTTGCTTGTAGCTTGAGCACTGAGGTGTTGATTGTGTGAGCACGTGCTTTTGGACTTATATATCCGATAGTGTCCCTATTAGCGGAAGTGATGGCTGGATGGCTATGTGATGAGCATGATGTGACTGCGTGATGTGTTCATATGATTTAGATGTGACAAGAAGAGTCTACTTGAGGGTAGGAAGAACGATTTGGTGCTTGATTTTCATCTTGGTTTGATATGTAGCCCCGAGTTATGGGTGTGTTGAAGGATCTTTTCGTGTTGTCTAGTTGTGGAATGAAGTAAACTCCATGTCGTGGGGTATGTTCGGATTTTGGAAGGGTGAGTGATCGAGTAATAGTATGATTATGGGGGAGTATGAAGAGATGTTAGTTTGAGGCAAAGTAGGTGGATTATCTCCTGTGGAGTGTTCTTAAGTTTGTGTGATCCTTTTTGCTGTTTGTTGGAAGACCTCTTGTACTAGTGAAATATATATGTTGCAATTTGAATTTGGATCGCTTAAGAGAGTGGGCTTAACTGTTACGAGGGTGAATGCGAGATTTGTAAAAGATTTGAAGTACTAGATGGTTTGTGTTACACGAGCTTAAGAAGGATTTAGTTTAATCTCACCACGGTATTATGGCAGTAATATAGTATATGCATTATGAGTTATTGTGTGTTTTGATCTATGGCTTTGAGCCAAGTGGGGGAGTCTGCTATTGATTAGTTGATTGCACGATTATGTGTTATGTTGGTTCCAGTTTGAGGCGTATCGGTGAATTAGTTATGGCTTACGGAGGTTGAGACCGAGGATGGCTCGAGTAAAGGGAATTTCAATAAAGGTTATGTTATGCTTTATGGGTGTATGGGAATCGTGGAATGACTTGAGTTGTTATCGGTAAAGAATGTGCGGTGCATAGATCATGAAGTTGCTTGGTTGCATTAGGGTGAGGTTACATTTTGCGGTGTCGGAGTGCTATTGGAGCACAGGTCGTCCGGTCCGTTTGATCGATCTAATTGCGGTTTGAGTACAGTGGATGACTCTCGAGAATGGTCCTAATGGGTTCAAGTTTTTACATGTAATAATTGGAGATTTTCAAGTTGTATATTTGGCTAGAAACTGAGGTTTGCATTGGAGGTTGTCAAGACTCGTGGTTTTTCTATATCATTATGGGATTCTATATATCAGTATCAGGAAGGTAAAGGTAATGGCTTTGGATTCGCAGGAAGTCCCTTCAGGGTAGGTATTTTGAATGTGGTACTTTATGGGATGCTTTAGAAGAATACAACGGTTTATGAGCCTTAGGGCAATGTGATTTTATGCTTGGGTCTCGTGTGGTAAGTCTGGGTTGAGGGATTGCGGTATTATGGCAAGAAGAAGTATCAAATGGAAGGTAATTTAGAAGGAACTTGAATAAATAGGATAGCTTGGTAGTAGGTCGGATCGACATCGTAAGGAATACGATTAGTTCTTGGGATGCTTATGAGGTAATGAGTTTCCACAGGTGTTTCATGGCAAAGCTCTTGGGTTTTGGTGATGTGTGTAGCTTGGTCGAGTTAAAAGGATTCAGTCCTAACGGTTTGGTCTTGTGCAAATGGAATTCAGAGAGTTCTTGATGGTTTCTACCACGGTTAGAGATGTATATTTTCTACTGGCGTGAGGAGTAGGAGATGTGTAGTGATTTTCTTCTAGGTGGGATCAAATGGGAAGTTTTTGGCTAATTGAGCACGTAGTTGCTTGTGGCTCGGAATGAATTATAAAGTCTTCATATTTGACATATGAGGGCATGGTGTATGCGGTATGTTATGTAGAATTGAGAATTGCATGTGTAAGGTCACGATTCAGTTTTGGAAGGAAGGTTCTAAATTCTTAGGCAGCATGGACAGTTTCAGGTGACTAAGTAAATGAGATCACTGATTGGTGTGGCTTGATGAGGGTATACATTTCAGAAAATGGCGATGTGTTTAAGTTATGGGTGCTTCATCGGTATTGCGGTACTATCTTGTCTGATCGACTGCTGATACTTAAAGTTTGCTTGGCGGCATAGGAGAATTTAAGGAGTACCCTAGTGGGATGATCGAGTATTAGAGATGTGTTAGATATTCGGGCGGTAGAGTTGGGATCGGATATGATGATTTGTGTGCCTTATGGATTTGGAGACTGGGAGTTCTCATAAACAGGTTATTTCGTGGTTATGGACTTTGAAGATGTGGGCAAGCTAATCAGATGATAGTATGTGCTATGATTCAGTCATTGTGAACTTTCGGAAAGCTGTTTATCTATTGTGGGTGACCAAAGTTGATTTGGGGTCCATTGGTAGGCCAATATGGATGTGCGTTCTGCATCGAGTCGGATTTGTTGACTCCGAACTACTATTGTTGGGAGATGTGCCATTCGATTGTTGTTGAGATCATTCGTGTTCTGGAGTGATCTATGAGTTACTCTCCTGTATTACGAGGGGATTGTGATTTAATGGGTAAATGCACATATGGTGCAGTTCCACTGGGCTTTATAGCGGGATTTAAATGAGACGGGTATTTGGGTGTTGCATGATTTGTTACGCATTGGGTATGTTCTTTCGGACGGGTATGGCATTGCGTCATTTGCTTCTCCAAGGTTATGATGATTCACTTTTGGGTGCTAGGCATCGAATTGCTCTTAGTTGATGATTTTGAGCATGGTGACTTGGGGTGTCTCATGTGAACCAGTGTTTGGATAGGGTCGCGCATTGCGGCGAAGTTATATAGAGGTATGATCCTTCGGGTTAGATCGTGTGTTCTGGTTCTAAGATGTGTGATGGGTTCTCAGCATTGTGCTGTAGTGGTACTGGTGTGCTTGCGATACAGTTCTCTCATTTGAGTCATTCCCCATGATTTGAGTACATTTGGGTTGTTGCTTTTTGGTGCACGGATTGCACGGATTGTGGCTTTAGATCGTATTGATGTGTCATGTCACCCGAGTAGTCGTGTTGGATGAGATGAGGTCATTGAACCCAGAATGAATACTTTCGGATTCGATTTCAGCATGGAAGGATAATATCGGGATTCGGCTTAGGAATCTACTATGGCCCTTGCCAAAGGAGAGGGAGCTTCATAAATGGTTGATCTTAGGAATGGTTACAACTTCCTGCATGTTTCATTCATCATTGGCAGTATACAGAAGTGTTGGAATGAGGCTTTATTTGATAAGAGGTTTATAATTGAGATTCGGTTGTTTGGAGCAACTGCTGTGATTAGAAGTTATCTCTACGAGTGTTTGAGTTATGTGGTATATCATGTAAGTGCATCTAAGGTTGCAGGTATGGCCTGTTACAGCTTGTTTGGACTTATTCAGAGTATAGATTTGAGATTCTGATCTTAGAGATGATTTCGGAAGTGGAAATTTGGTTCTAAGGTTTATGGGCTTGGTTGGATTGCGGAATTTCTGTCATATTGCGTTATCAGACCTATATGGGATAGGGTGACGTGGGATCACCCCCAGGTATCTGCATGTTAAGGTTATACAGCGATTTGTTGGCTTTTGGAACAACTCTGGGCACGTTCGAGGACGAACGTATGTTTAAGTGGGGGAGGATGTAACGACCCGACCAGTCGTTTTGAGCATTTGTACTTTGCTCGCCAGTTCTCGAGCAAGGCTAGCCCCGTATGATGTATTATGACTTATGTAAATCGTTGGTTTTGGTTTTCATTTTAATCGGAATAGCTTTGGAAGAACAATTCTCAGTTGAAGCTTAAATTTGAAAGGTTTGACCAAGTTTTGACTTTTTAGTATATGATCTCGGATTTAGATTTTTATGATTTGGTACCGTTAGGTGTATTGGGACTTAGGAGCGTGATCGGAATGTAATTTGGAGGTCCGTGGTAGATTCAGGCTTGAATTGGCGAAATTGGAACTTTGGCGTTTTCCAGTTGGTAGTGAAAATTTTGATATCAGGGTCGGAATGGAATTCCGGAAGTTGCAGTAGATCCCTTGTGTCATTTGTTATATGTGTGCAAAATTTCAGGTCATTCGGACGAGGTATGTTAGACTTTTTGATCAAACGCGGAGTTCGGAAGTTTTTGGAAACATAGGCTTGAATCCGTGGTTAATTTGACGTTTTGATGTTGTATTAGGTATCTCGAAGATTGGTATAAGTTTGGAAGGTGGTATATGACTTGCTCGTGCTTTTGAGGTCCCGGGGGCCTCGGGGTGATTTCGGATGGTTGACGAGAGGTTTTGAGTTGGAATATGCAGCTAAAGTGCTAAGTTCCTATCATAACCGCACCTGCGGCTTGGGGACCGCAGGCGCGGGCCCGCAGAAGCGGATGGAGCGTCGCAGATGCAGCCACAGGCGAAACGGGCAGAAACCCCAGATGCAGAGTTTGGGGCGCACTTGCGATAGCCCAGGTGCGGGATTTGATCGCACGTGCGGTCTTGAGCGCTTAAGTGATTTCCGCAAATGCGCACCTGGGACCGCAGGTGCATGGGTTTCGACCGCAGAAGCGGTTTAGCTGGGGGCATAACATATAAATTATGGGCTTCGCGATTTTCAGCCTTTCTTCACCATTTTTAAATCGATTTTGGAGCTTTTTGGGAGATTTTGAAGAGGGAATTCAAGGGAACTTCGTTGAGCTAAGATTTTTGAACATAAAACTTGTTTCTACGGTGTTATTTCACGGATTAGGCTTGTAATTTATGGAAATTAGTGGTTGAACTTGAAGAAAATTAGGGCTTGTAATTGGAGACCTAAAAATTTGGGATTTGAGGGGTCATTTATGGTTGGATTTTGGTAAATTTGGTATGCATGAACTCGTGGGAGGATAAGGATTCCATTGATGTTAATTTTGTCGGATTTTGAGACATGGGCCCGGGGGCCGGGTTTGGCCAATTTCGGAATTTTTGGTATAAATTGGATATTTTCGAGTGGGCTTTGTTCCCTTAGCATATTTTGATGGTATAAATCTAGTTTTGGATAGATTTGGAACATCCGGAGGCCGATTCGAGAGGCAAGGCATCGTGGGCTAGAGTTTGGACCGGTTAGAGGTAAGTAATGATTTTAAATGTTGTCCTGAGGGTATGAAACCCCGGATTTCACATCGTTTCACTACTTTGAGGTGACGCACACGCTAGATGACGAACGTGGGTTTGTGCACCGTTGGGGATTGTGACTTGGCCCGTCCCGTACGACTATTAAGTCGCGTATTTGATTGAAAACTATTTGATAGTATCGTGTTTATGGAAAGTATTACTATGTTTTGGGCGGAATGCCATATTTGGGCCTCGTGCCAACTGATTGGACCCTTAGGGGCTTTTTGCTACTATTCCTCACTGTTTTAATTTTGATAATTGTACTCAGTCATTTTCTGTTTTACTGATTTCATAACTAAGCCTTATTTACTCAGTTTTGATATTTCAAATGATATTTTGGGCTGAACGCCCCGTTTTACTGTTAGCCCGAGTGGCTTGAGAGGTTTCTGACTGAGAGAGGACGAGGGCTTGATTGTGAGGTGATGACTGAGAGAGAGGCCGAGGGCCTGATTGTGAGATTGATGACTGAGAGAGGCCGAGGGCCTGGTTGTGAGGATTATATATTTATGGATCGGGCTGCACAACGCAGCGATATATATATATATATATATATATATATATATATATATGTACATGTATATATGTATGTATGTATGTATGTATGTATGTATGTATGTATGTATGTATGTATGTTTGTATATGGATCGGGCTGCACGCCACAACGATATAGCGCTTGGGCTGAAGGAGCCCCTCCGGAGTCTGCACACCCCCAGTGAGCGCAGTCATATATATGGATCGGGTTGCACGCCGCAACGATATATGGATCGGGTTGCACGTCGCAACGGTTATTACATGGTATCTATTGAGCGTGAGTGCTGAGTGAGAGCGCTGATTGATGAGAGTTGAGTCATGAGTGACTAAGAGGCTTGCCCAGGGGCTTTATATACATGTATATGGGTAATGTTTTTCCCGAGGGACTTGTTTTCATGAAATTCCTGTTTTCACTCCTCTTTATACTAAGCCTCTATTGAAAATGTTAAACAAATGTTTTGAACAACTTTCGTTGAAACAGGATTTTTGAAGAGGTGTTCGATATTTAATCACTGATTTGGCTTTGTTATTTCCTCTGAGACCTTTTTTTCTGTTATGATATGTATATGCTTTATGTCTTCCTGAGGGGCTGTATATAAACTGCATTTTGCCTGAGGGGCCGATTATGATTTTCATCGTTTTTCACTATGAACTACATTGAACCTCTACTGAAACTGTTGGAAAGACAATTTTCAAAGGATTTTTACTGAAATCGGCGTTTAATGAGGTGATTTGATTTGTACCCTGTTTGGAAACATACTGTACCCACTGTGGTGCTATGACGTGGTTTACGTGATTTCTTACTGCTCAGTCATTATTTACTTTTATTACTTACTGAGTTGGCGTACTCACATTACTCCCTGCACCTTGTGTGCAGATCCACATATTTCTGAGCTCGGTCGCAGGTTCATCGGAGTTAGCAAGGTTATTGCCTGACGTTCGCAGCCCTGTCTCTCTCCTTCCTATTCTAGTACTTTATATTTCAGACTTGTTTGTGTATTGAGCAGATAGTGTTGAGAGTACTTAGTGGCTCATGACTAGTGACACCAGATTCGGGCTGGGTCGATGTATTTACATAGTTGATTCCGCGTATTTCTGTTGATATATTAAAAATGAAAGATTTGAGACTCAATCCGCTTTAGAAAATACAAATTTTACAAAAGATCTTCTGTATTGTTTCGTGTGGTTTCGGCTGGCCTAGTTCTGTGATAGGCGCCATCATGACCGGAGTATTTGGGGTCGTGTTTGGAGAGAAGCAATTTGTGTTTGGCTAATTAATCTGAAAAACACTTTTGAGCAATAATTTGTGTTTGACCAAACTTTTCAAAAAGTACTTTTAAGTATCAAATTACGAATAAGAACATGAATAGAATTACTTAATAGTTAATATTATATGTAAATAAATAATCTTAATTTTTTAATTAAAGAAATAATTAAATATTTTTATTTCATTTAAGTAAAGTATGAAAATATAATTTAAAAGTACTTCAATTCTTTTAAGATGATTTAAATAATTCAACAAATACAAAATCATTCACCCCTTACGTCACTATATATTAGAAAGATATCCTAAAAATAAGAAGAAATAATTATATTAATATTCGAAGTATTAGGTTTAAAATAAGTAAGATTATTTTTGTATATACTATATTTTGTTAAGAACATTTTTGGTAAGTAGAAAAGTCAAAATTGCTTCTACTTCTGGGAAGAAGGTATTTTTTTTTCTATTTCTGTGATGACCCAAAAAGTCATCACTTGATTTACAAGTAAAATTTGTGTTCCGAGGCCTTAAAAACCTCTTTTTGTCCCACCTCGATTTGCATGCGCAGTCCAGGCGCGTTTTTGGAAAGTTGTTATGTGGAAAAAAAACTAAGTAAAATATGGAAATTGACCTTCAAAATTGAATAAAGTTGACTTCGGTCAACATTCTTGGTAAACGGACCCGGACCCTTGATTCGACGGTCTCGTAGGGTCCGTAGTAAAATATGGGACTTGGGCGTATGCCCGGAATCTAATTCCGAGGTCCCAAGCCCGAGAAATAAATTTTTAAAGAAAATTATTTTCTGGAAAATATAAAGGTTTTTAGAAGTGAATTGATGCCTTTTCTTGATGGTATCGGGCCCGTATCTTGTTTTCAGAGCCCGGTACAAGTTTGAAATAATGATTAAGTTGAATCTGTAAAATTTGGTAAAGATCGGAATTGGTTTGGTATAAAATGGACCTGTAGTTGAGAAAATAGTAATTTTGATGTTCTTGAGTGATTTCATCAATTTGAGGTTTAATTCATAGATGTTGATATTATTTTGATGATTTGATCGCACGAGCAAGTTCGTATGATATTTTTGGACTTGCGTGCATGTTTGGTTTGGAGCCCCGAGGGCTCGGGTGAGTTTTGGATAGGCCACGGAGTGCATTTAGACTTGGAAAATAACTGTTGCAGGTTCAGAGAAGTTGCAGGTCTCTGAACCAGGCTTCGCGGTCCGCAGTAAATCTTCGCGACCGCGGTGGGATTCTATGCGGTCCGCGATGAGCAAGGCTATGTCTTCGCGGCCACGCTCGATATTTCGCGGTCCGCGGTGGAGCCCCGCGGCGGCGGTCCTTTTCATGCGGTCCGCGGTGAGGGTCTGAGAGGAGTATATAAACGGGACTTTTCAGCCATTTTTCATTTTTCAAAAACCTAAAACATAAGAGGCGATTTTTCAAATACTCTTTCTTCCCCAAAACACAAGTAAGTGATTTTAAACTCAATCTTTCACTCCTTAACTTCTTTTTACAAGATTTCATCATAGAATCTAGGGTTTTCATGGTGGAATTGGAAATTTTGGGTAGGACATAGGAATGTTGAAATTTGGGAATTTAGACCTCAAATTGAGGTCGGATTCCAAAACCAATTGTATATCCGGGCTCGGGGGTGAAAGGATAATCGGGTTTTGGTCTGAATTTCGGGTTTGGACCAAGCGAGCCCGGGAGTCGATTTTTGACTTTTTGGGAAATCATTTGAAAACCCATTTTCATGTAGTAGAATTGATTCTTTTAGCATTTATTAATAGTATTAATTAAATTGTGGCTAGATACAAGCAAATTAGTGGTGGAAACAAGAGGTAAAGCAGTCGTTGAGGCTTGAATTGTGTTCGTGGCATCGAGGTAAGTGTTTGGTCTAACCTTAGCTTGAGGGATTATGAGTTGTGTCTTATTTGCTATGTGTTAATTGTTGAGTACGACATATAGGCATGGTGACGAGTATCTATACGTCAGTGTCAAGCATGCCCGTGAGTCTTATACTTTGATAAATGTGACTCCGTTTCGTATTGTTCATGCTTTATGTGATGATATCTATTGTTGAACAAGGCTTGTGGAAGTATTATTGGTAATTGAACATTAAAGAGCGTTGGCTCAAGTTGTGAATTGATTTGTGGAAGCATTATTGGTAATTGAACATTTAAGAGCATTGGCTCAAGTTGTGAATTGAATTGTGGAAGTATTATTGGTAATTGAACATTGTAGAGCGTTGGCTCGAGTTGTGAATTGAGTGGTGAAGTAATTGTGAACAGAGAAGAGGTTTATGAAATTGTCTCCCTTGTCGGAATGTTATTATTTTTGATATTATCTCCCTTGCCAGGATGTTATTGCTTTTGATATTGTTTCCCTTGCCAGGATATTGTTGTTATGCTATTGTTCCCTTGCCGGGATTTTATTGTGAATTTTATTGATTCCCTTGCCCTTATTGCTTTGTGATTGTTGTTTGGGTAAGGAAGAGTGTAAAAGCACGAAGGGTGATGCCGTGCATGATATTTGTGAGATAGTGTTAATGCACGAAGGGTGATGCCGTGCCGATATCGTGAGGTTAAAGCACGAAGGGTGATGCCGTGCCGCACGATGTACAATGTTGTGCCCTGGTATGAGTGATAATGCACGAAGGATAATTCCGTGCCATGATTATGTTAGGTAAAAACACGAAGGGTGATGACGTGCCGATTATATTGATTCTTATGGTGAGGACGAGAGTAAAAGCACGAAGGGTGATTCCGTGCACTTGTCTTTGATTTCCTGATTCTTTTTGATAATTGAGTTATGGTGTTCTATACGGTTATTTATTGGTTTTCCTGTTGCTACTTGATTTCCCCGCATCATGTTTTTCCCCTCCTATCTTTACCTGTATAATTCTGCCTTTATTTTCCGCTGTATATGATTTAACTGCACAGGTTTATTTGGTAGACTGGTCCTAGCCTCGTCACTACTTTGCCAAGGTTAGGCTAGGCACTTACCAGCACATGGGGTCGGTAGTGCTGATACTACACTCTGCACTGTATGCAGATCTCGGTGCCGCAGCTTTTGGACCACAGTGAGGTTGCTGCTTCTAGACCGTCAGGCGACCCGAGGTAGTCCTGCGGGCGTCCGCAGGCCTTGGCGTCTCCTTCTATCATTTTCTTTCTGTTTTTACTTATTCCGAGACAGATTCGTGTAATTCTATCCAGACCTTATTTGTAGTATTCTTAGAAAGTCTGTGAGATTGTGACACCAATTCTGGGTAGAGTTATACTTAGACTTCCGCAGTTTGTATTAATCTAAATTATCAAACTTCGTCTTCTGGACTGTTCTTTTTTTATTATTATTTCCGCTGCTTTTATTATGTTGTTTTGGAATTGTTAAGGGATTTAAAATGAAAATGGTTAAATAATTGGAATAACTGGCTTGCCTAGCTTTCACTAGTAGGCGCCATCACGACTCCCGAGGGTGGGAAATCCGGGTCGTGACAAGTTGGTATCAGATCTCTAGGTTGCTTAGGTCTCACAATTCACGGACAAGCTTAGTAGAGTCTGAGGGATCGGTACGGAGACGTCTGTATTTATCCCCCAGAGGCTACAGAGTTAGGAAAAACTTCACATCTATTCTTTCCTGTCGTGCCATTTGGTTTCTCAATGCTAATTGAAGTTCTACTCTGTTCTTTCGCAGATGGCGAGAACACGCGCTTCTTCATCCGCTGATCAGAAGCCCGAGCCTCCAGCGGTAGCATCTGCGAGGGGCGGAGGGCGAGGCCGAGGCCGTGCTAGGGGCCGAGGCAGGGGCAGAGCTCAGCCCAGAGAAGCAGCACCAGTGGCGGAGCCTCAGGTTCAGTTTTACGAGGAGGTTCCTGCCCAGACAGTTCCAGCAGGACCAGCTCTAGTCCCATAGGGGTTCATTGCTACCCCTGTACTCCAGGATGCTCTGGTCCATCTAGTGGGCCTTATGGAAAGTGTCACTCGGGCAGGCTTACTTCCGATAGCACCAGCCGTCTCTCAGGCTGGGGGAGGAGCACAGACTCCCGCTACCCGCACTCCGGAGCAGATGGCTCCCCAGTTTCAGACTCCAGCAGCTCAGCCAGTTGGAGCAGTTTAGCCGGGTGTGGTAGCTCAGACCGGTGATGGAGCAACTATGTCTGCCGATGCTTTGTAGAGGTTGGAAAGGTTCACCAAGCTGTTCACTACTACTTTTGGCGGTACATCTTCTGAGGATCCCCAAGATTATTTGGACAGCTGTCATGAGGTTCTTCGGAACATGGGGATAGCGGAGACAAATGGGGTCGACTTTGCTGCTTTTCGACTGTCTGGATCCGCCAAGACTTGGTGGAGAGATTATTGTTTGGCTAGACTAGCTGGGTCACAAGCTTTGACTTGGGATCAGTTTTCTCAGCTATTTCTGGAGAAGTTTCTTCCTATCACTCAGAGGGAGAACTATAGGAGGCAATTTGAGCGTCTCCAGCAGGGTTCTATGACTGTCACTCAGTACGAGACCAGATTCATTGACTTGGCCCGTCATGCTCTTCTTATACTTCCCACTGAGAGAGAGAGAGAGAGAGAGAGAGTGAGGAGGTTCATTGAGGGACTCGTTCAGCCTATTCGATTGCAGATGGCTAAGGAGACGGGGAGCGAGATTTCTTTTCAGGATGCGGCTAATGTGGCCAGGAGAGTGGAGATGGTTCTATCGCAGGGGAGTGGTCAGGGGCCTGACAAGAGGCCTCGTCATTCGGGAAGGTTCAGTGGTACCTCATCTGGAGGCAGAGATTCTTTTGGTAGGGGTCATCCTTCTAGGCCATTTCATTCAGCACTACAGGCTTCTCACGGTGCTCCAGGTGGCCGTGGTTCTCATACGCAA